CTCCCCCACTGCCCTGGGCAGCCTGTTCCAGCGCTTGGCAACACTTTTGGTGAAGAATTTTCCCTGATGTCCAAACTAAACCTCCCCTGGCGCCACTTGAGGCCATTTCCTCTTGTCCTGTCACTTGTTCCTCGGGAGAAGAGACCGACCCCACCTCTCTAAAACCTCCTTTCAGGTGGTTGTAGAGGGCAATGAGGTCTCGCCTCAGCCTCCTTTCCTCTAGGCTGAGCACGATCGCAGAATCCCAGAGTGTCAGGGGTTGGAAGGGACCTCTGGAGATCACGTAGTCCAACCCCCCTGCCAGAGCAGGATCCTAGAGCAGATCCCACAGGAACATGTCCAGGTGGGTTTTGAATGTCTCCAGAGACTCCACACCCTCTCTAGGCAGCCTGTTAAGATGCTCTGTTACCCTCACAGTAAAGAAATATTTCTACTGTTTAGCTTGAACCTCATGTTTTCCAGTTCTCCAGTCCAATGTGGCAGGCAGACATCACCTGGCACCCAGTGACCACCTCCCTGCTGCACTCTTCAGCCTCCTGCCCTGAGCTCAGAGGAAGTTAAACATCTCTGAAGAGCAGTCATAAGCATATATTAAAGTACTCCAGTAGAGGAGGATATTTCATTTCATCAAGCCTCATTTTATGAGGAGTTAAATAATCCTGTTTAAACATAAAGAAGTAAGAAATGAGTCCTTGTTTTATTTAAAATTGGGATTGGAAGAAATCTTCATGATTCTGCTGTAATGGGAAATACTCACTAATGTGCACTCCTGTTTACAGGGTCCTGGAAATGGTCAAACCCAAAGGATTAAAAAGCACTTTTTTGATGCTCCTGAGGGATTTAGGAGCATTGAAGTAATTAATTAGATGAGCTGGTTCTGCGAGGTGACTCAGCATCCTGTAAAACGTTGCCCAGAGGGACCTGGGGAAGTGGCTCAGCTCCTCGGTGCCAGCGCCAGGATCTGGCCCAGATTTCCTGGCTGCCAGGTAGCAACTTCACTCCTAGACCAGCCTCCATCAGTTTTGTCAGCAGGCAATTACCTCTCCCTGTGTGTTTCTCACCACGATGCAGACGCTGTCTGGGAGAAGAGCTGCAGCTGGACCATACTGCACATCCCTTTGGCCGCCTCCTGCTCGCCCAGGAAGTGGAAGATTTTTGCCAGGCGGTTCAGGGCGGGAGGGTTGTCTTTCACCATTTCTGTCGCCTGTTCAAGCCTGAGAAGTGAAATGTGTTTCCGTCAGTGACTTATTGCCTGCTGTGCTGATCAAAGGGAGAAAAACATCTTGGATTGATTCGCTGGGGCGGTGTTTTAACCGGGAGGGTTTAAGGATATACAAGAGGCGCAGTCTGTGGGGAAAGCTGATATCTCTTATTAAATCAGCAGACAGGACTGAATGCAGGGCTAAGCTCGTGGGTTATGTGCCTGAAAGCCAGTCTGTGCTCCTTATTTTTTCCAGCTGTGCTGGGAGAATCTAATAAAGTTACTGCTGCCCCTGCAGCCTTTCACTGGACTGCTCCCCTGCTGCTTTGCCATGGCTGAGTTATGCCACTGGGGCCAGACACAAGACTTGGGAGCAGTGTGCGCTGCACGCAGTGGGACTGAGGGTCTTGGCTCCTGTCCAGGGTCTCCCCTCTTTGTCCTGGGGGATTTCCAGGAGGAAAAGCACTGATGAGGGAATGTGAACAAGAGACTTGAGTCAGTCTCTGGGACAGCCGTGCTGGGTATAGAACCTTGCCAGAGCTATTGAGGGGGTCGGTCTCGGAGAAGCCACAGTCCTGGATCCCTGTCAGGGTGGTGGAAAATATTTCTTTCCTTTCCAGCAGCATCCGCAGGTAGCACTAGGCCAGGGCTAGGGAAGGCAAGTCAGAGCAGGTGAGAGGCCAAGACATTCAGTGACTGAACCTCTCTCCGTCACAGGATCACAGAATGTTCAGGGTTGGAAGGGACCTCAAAAGGTCATCTAGTCCAGGCCCCCTGCCAGAGCAGGATCACCTACATTCCCGGGGTCACTCATTCCCGGGGAAGTTAATGGGGGATATAAAATTACCACACATCCCCTGCACCCTGGCAGCTACCCAAGGCGCAGGTGTTCCAGAGCTTTCAAGCAGCTCCTCCTGAGCAGACAACACTTTTGAAAATAAGCAACACTGATAAAATTATAGTAATTAAATCAATTAGAAGAATGCATATCATCATCTGAGGTTAGGGCTACCTTGGATGTAGGTACATACAGCACCCACCATGCTGGATGCAGTACACTGTGATTTACATTTGTGTAGAGACCAGAGGTGGGTTTTACACAAATGGGTTGGAGATCCCTCTTCTGCTGAAACAATTCATTTCTCCTACCTCCATAGTGAGTATCGGAGGCCTTGATGACATGGAGCAGTGCCTGGGCCCTGTTGAAGGTAGGCAGCCTCTTCTGTTCCTCACTGCCCTGACTCAGCAGGAGCCCACCCAGCCTGTGATGGGAGCAGGTGGCACAGCTGGGCAGCAAACCCCAGCTGGGCAGCAAACCTTTGCTTTCGGCACCAAACAGCAGTCCGGCACCAGGGAACTGCCTTCCCCAGGCCTGGCTCGCTCTTCTTCAAAGCCCCATGGGCATTAAGGGGAGAGAGCTGAGTGTCCTCTGTGAAGATCATGGGTGAGGATCGCCTTGCCCAGACCCATCAGTGCTCACAGATGCATCAAATACAGAGGCACAAACAATGCTGAACCCCACTGTCTGCTGGCCCTGTCTGCCTCTGGGAGGGGACATTCCCTGGGGAATGGGGTGCTGGGTGCCATGGTGACGGCTGCCATGGTGAGGGCTGCCACCACTCCAGCAGCCCTCCGGGACCAGAGCTGCCATGATGGGGCTGCAGGAGCTTTCCAGGGACATGGGCAGCCAGGTGAGGCTGTGGGCTTGCCTGGATGTGTGGGGAGAGCTGGACTTACCGGTGTAGCTCTCCTCACCTCCTGGATTGTCTGTGCCTGTTGTGAAGTGGCTTTTGTGTACAACTGTCTGGGACACCCAGCTTGGGTGGGAAGCACCTCAGGGTGGAAATGTGGGACGTGGGCTGCTCATGCAGGAGCTTGCCTGGCACCTTCCTGGTGCTTAGCAAACAGAGCACAGAGGAGTGGGATGTGGAGCAGCAGATCCCTGTGTCCATCTCCCCTCCTCATCCAGCTGCGGAGCTGTGGCTGGCTGAGCTCCAGCCCTGGTGACACTGCCAGCAGCGCTCTGGCTCTGTGTTGCAGAGGAAAGCATCAGCCTCTGGATGGACCAGAGCAGAGAAGGAACCACAGCTTAGTCAGCTGCTCCATTTCCAGTTCAAGGAGACAATGAAGAGGAGGAAACGCCAGGTAGGAGCTGGGTTTCATCCCCTCTCTGTGCCCATCTGCTGTGGACGAGCAGTGCAGGCAGCGCTGCCCAGTCCCATCCTTACCTGCTTTGCTCTCCTCCCACAGCAGGACAGGCTGGGCCCGGGAACGTACAACATCAAGGACTTTCTGCAGGAGACGCGGCCCTCCAGCCTCCGTGGGATCTGTAACACGAGGGAGCGGCGGGTCGGGGGT